ACCACATTTCTGTTTCTTATTATTGTTTTGGGTGATAACTTCCCAGAGGAGAAGAGGACAAAAACAGCTTTGTCTTGCCATTTGAAAACTAAAAGTTGCTCTTATATGCTTTTGTGTCTCCAAAACCTAATAGGATTCTTGGCACCCAATAGACATTCATTAACTACTTGGTTAATGAGTGATTAGCTGTAGTTACAGACTAAGCTGCTGTAACAAAAAGACCTCAAAATGCAATGACTCAAACAGGATAAGTGCCTATTTTCCTCTCATGGAGCACTACATAGGTAAGAGGGTAGGTCAGGGTGAAAAGGTATCACTAGACCATTAGGTCATTAAATGACCCGGGTTTCTTCTCTCTTGTTATATTCCATCTATCCTGCAGTGTTATAGTGGTCAAAACTGGCTAATCATTACACTCTGCATTCTAGCCCATGGAAAAGGAGCCAATCAACCTACTAGTTGACAAATTCCACACATACAATTATTATCTTGTAGTTTCTATAGGCCAGGAATCTGGGCCAAGAAAACATGTCAGCTTGGAAGTAGATCCTTCTCCAGTTAAGGTTCAGATGAGACTCTAGCCACTGCTTGACTGCAGTCTGTGAAACTCTGATCCAAAGAACCCAGTTAAGCTGTATACAGATTCCTGGCCCACAGAAACTGTGAGTTAATAAGTGTATGTTGTTTCAAGTTACTAAATTTGGGGTAATTTGTTATGCATCAAATATATAACTAATGTGACAGCAGCTCAACTTTCTTTCAATTATCAGTAACTGAGAAAACAAAAAACTTTTAATTGTACATTAAAGGCAAATATAATTTAAAAGTATAAAGCTAACATATATTTTGACAATCTTTTGGATTTAACACTATTAAAGAAATAGTACATATTAGGCTTCTATCTTATACTTAAAATTAATTCCTGTAATCTAGAATGATTATAATCTGTTCAACAAGTTCACCCACACTGCTGGTAATGTGTTAGTCCTGCACCTTTTCACCCTATTGGTACAATGCAGAGGTAAATGTTATGAATGCTATGCGTACTGTGAGGAAAAGTATGAACCATATAACATCACAATGGAAAATGCTTTTGATTTTAGACTGATGAGAATAAAACATCTGAAGGTTTTCCTTACAAAGGAATTGTTATATACATAAAAAAAGGCAGCTGGGGGCAGAAAAATCAATATTAACACTTACTGATTGTTTATATGTTTGCATAAATACTAATAAATATGCAGAAGTAAAATGTTTCAAATGGTTTGGGAGGTACAGAAATGAAGACCAAATGTGAAGGCAGCCTTGGGCACTAGGCCCCATGTCCAGGTCCCTGTGCTAGCAAAAGTATAATTTATGCATTCATTTATTTTTTTAAATATATTTTTATTGATTTTATAGAGAGAGAAAGGGAGAGGAAGGAGAGAAACATCGATGAGAGAGACAAATCGATGGGCTGCTTCCTGCACGCCCCCCACTGGGGATCGAGCCTGCAACCCAGGCATGTGCCCTGACTGGGAACTGAACCAGTGACCTCTTGGTCTATGGGTCGATGCTCAACCACTGAGCCAACCAGCTGGGCTCATGCATTCATTTAATTAACAAGCACTTATTGGGGTGCTGGATATAAAACAAGGAATAAGTCAGACATAATCACTGCCTTGTGCAACTCACAGCTTAGTAGAGAATATAAACAAATAAATAAGCAACAAAATCTAGTGTGGTGTTGCTATTTAGGGCATGTGTGGACTTCTGTGGCAGCACAAAGGAAAAACAATGAACTCAAGGTGAAAATAGAAGTGATAGTTGTATCAGGAAGATATCTCAGTTGAAATGATATAAAAACTTGGATCTGAAGCATGATCAGAAATTCAATGGCTGGGGTAGTAAGGGAAAAAAATTCTGGGAGAAGGAATATCACTTTTGAAGGCTCATGAGCAAAAGAAATCCTGATACGTTCGAGTGATTGGACTTTCAGTAGAGAATAGAGGTGTGAGGCCGGAGAGGATATAAAGAAATATGCAGCCCTGGCCAGTCTGGATCAGCGGTTACAGCGTCGGCCCGTGGACCAGAGAGGCCCGGGTTCGGTTCCCGCTAAGGGCACGTACCTCAGTTGCAGTTTGTCCCCGGCCCCAGTTGGGGTCGTGTTGGGTGGCAACCAGTCAATGTGTCTCTCTCACATCGATGTTTGTCTCTCTCTTCCTCCCTCTCTCCCTCCCACTCTATCTGAAGATAAATTCAAAAACGTCCTTGGTAAGATAAAAATAAAATAAAGAAATATGCAAAGGCCTTATTATGCAGGGTCTGATAGGTCACACTGTAGAGTTCAGACTTTATTTAAAGGAAGCACAAAACTATCAAAGTGTTGTTTTTTTAAAATATTTTTTCTTTATTGATTTTAGAGAGAGAGAAAGGGAGGAGCGAGAGATAGAAACATCAATGAAAGAGAACATCGATTGGCCGCCTCCTGCATGCCCCTTACAGGGGATCGGACCCACAACCTGGGCATGTGCCCTGACAGGGAATCAAACTGGCGATCTCTTGGTGCATGGGTTGATGCTCAACCAGTGAGCTACACCGGTTGAGCTATCAAAGGGTTTTAAGAACAGTACAATAATCTCACTCCTGCATAAATGATATAATGTTCATAACAATTTGGTTTCTGAAAAATTAACTTTCCCAAGATGTTAAACATAACTTTTTTTATATACTAGCAATAACCACATGGAAGACACAGCAGAGAAAACTTCCCATTTATAGAAACTACGAAATACCCATGAATTACCTTAATAAGAAATAGACAAAACTGTATGTAAGAAACCATAAAATTTTGATAACGGTTATAAAAGAATATCAGAATAAATGAATGTCCTTGGATGTGAAGACTCAATATTATTAAAATAATATTCTTCAAGTTAATCTGTAAATTAAATGTAATTCTGATAAAAATCCCAATAAATTTTTTAGGAGTACTTGATAAATTGATTATAAAATTCATCTGGAAGATGCATAAGACTACAATTTTGAAAAGTAAAAAGGTGAGAAGGCTGGCCTTATCATATATAAAAAACAATAAGGTAGAGTAATTGAAACTGTATATGAAGCTAAAACCTTCAGGGATGTTGTAGGTAGAACTATGTCCTCCAAAAGGTATGGTCAATTTTCCCTATGCTGTACTTTACATGGTGCCACATGGGTACTAGACTTATTGCAGTGATCACTTTGTAAAGTATATAAATGTCTAATCACTATGTTGTAAACATACAACTAACATAATATTGTATGCCAATTATAATTGAAAAATACATTTTAAAAAGGTATGTTCAAATTCTAATCCCCTATACCTGTGAATGTGATCTTAATTGAAAATAGGGTCTTTGCAGATATAATAAAATTAAGGTGAGGTCAAAATGGAGTAGGGTGTACCCTAATCCAATAGACTGGTATCCTTATAAGAAGAGAAAAATTTGGATACAGAAATATGCAGGGAGAATGCCATGTGACAATGGAGGTAGAGACTGAGGTGATATGTCTAACAAGCCAAGGAATGCCAAAGACTGCCCTACCAGAAGCTGGAAGAGGCAAGGAAGGATCCTTCCCTAGAGCCTTCAGGGAGAGCATGGCTCTGTCAACACCTTGATTTCAAACTTCTAGTCTTCTGGACTGTGAGAGAACAAATTTCTGTTGTTTTACACCACTCAGTTGTTGGTACTTTGTTAGGTCAGGCCTAGGAAACTGGTACAATGAGTATATGGCAATTTTATATATGATAAAAGAAGGATCTCAAATGAGTGGAAATGAATGAGTTTTATTTATTCCATAAGTAGAGATTAAGACAACAGGCTATTTATTTAGAGGAAGGTTAGATTTCTACATTACAACAGGTACTAAAATTCCAAGTATCACAAAATAAAACCACAAAAGTGATAGATGAAAATGTTAAGAGAATAATTTTTATAATCTTGGTGTAGGGAAGGATTTTCTAACCAAAACATGAAACCCAGAAGCCAGATCTAACAACTCAAAAATGAAAACTTCTGTACATTTACAATGACCGACAACAAAATCAATTTTAAAAAATAGGGAGAAAATATTTGCAAGATATGTTACAAACAGGGAGTTAACATCCAGAATATATACAGAGATATATATAGATCATAAGGAGACAAGTAACCCCAAAGAAAATTGGACCAACCCAAAAATACAAAAGCCAATAAAGTGTGGATACTCAACTTCACTAATGATCAAATGAGATACAAACTGAAATGAGAAAGTATTATTTATTTAGAGTGGCTCAAATTAAAAATAATTTCTGATAATATTCAGTGTTCAGTATCCTGTTTGACCACACTTTATTCAACATGTAATTAGTTTTTGGTTTGAAGGGCAATTTGGCAATGTCTACTGAGATTTAAATGTTCATACCCTTTTTTTCCAGCATATCCTTTTCGAAGACTATATCCTACCAGAACATAAATTCACAAAAATAAATAGGGGGAAATTACATTAAGTGTAGGACATGCATAAAACAGAATATTATGCAACCATTTAAGAGATGCAGATCTACATTTTGCCATAAAAGATGTTTAAGACATTAAGTGAAAATAAGTTGCAGAATGTATGTATTTTGTAAATATCAACGATAATTGTCTTATGTATAGAACAAAAAGAAAGTAATAACTGAGCTGCTAACAATGGATATCTTGCAGGGGGAGACAATTTATTAACTTGCCTCTAATAAATCTGTGATTAGTTTGATTTAAAAAAAGCTTTAAGGTACTAATAAAAATCTTTCAACAATATAAAAGCAATTTTTTTCATTATTTTAAAATCAGTTTTATCAAACAGTTCAAGAATGCATTTTGGTAAAATTCATGTGAAAGCATCAACAAATTTCTAATACCATAAAATCATTATTGTGCTCAGTTTAAAAGTAAGAATACTTAAGTTTTATGATATCTGATTTATCTACATCCCTTATTAGACAATATTTTACTTACAGTTTGTGGATTACTCTCCTCCTCGCCCATAGGTTCATCCATAATTTGCTGTCCATTCTGTGAAAAGCACAGCAAGAAGAAAGTTACCAAAGAGGATCTCACATCAGTTAAAGTTAAATGAAGGCAGACAAAACAAGATCATACAGGAATATTTTCACTCCTAAAGGGTTCTAATGAAGTACAGAACCACCATATAAGTATATAGTTGCCAATTTGCAACAGATTGTGCTTCAAAAGTTAATATGTAAATTGTTTATTTTAAACTATAAAAACACTTTTCAATGGAAATGATATAATAAATGATAATTACCTTTCCAGGTGAGCCCTTGAATTTATTTTAATAGTTAAATGCATTACAGATGATCTTATTCAAACCTCATCAACTTCATTTACAATACTTTCTATGGGAAAACACATTCTAAATTCCAACTCCAATGATAATTAATCAGGGCAACTGATTAATTATTTCAGGGGAAAATTAAGCTAGATCTCTACATCAAAATAGATTCCATATGTATTAAGCATTTAAATGTCAAAAAGAAAATTATACAAGTATTAGAAAAAATACAGGTAAATAATATTTATGGGGTAAGAAGGGTGGAAACCATAAAGAAAAAATGACATTTGAATCCATAAAAGTTTAAAACTTCTTCTGCCAGACATAAAAAAGTTAAAAGACAAACTGATTAAAAAATAAATGAAAGCAACATATGGCAAAGGGTTGGTATCCTCAATACATAAAAGAGCTTTGTTTTACAAACCTGTAAGAAAAAATGATGAACCTCAACAGAAATAAGCAATAAAGGAAAAAAGAGTTCATTCAGCCTCAGCACTAATCAAGGAAATGCATTTAACCGAAAGATACCTTTGCCTTTCAAATTGGTAATGATTTACAGAAAAAATAACACCCAGCACTAACATGGGGAAAAGAGCACTCAGAATATACTGCTGGAGAAAGTGTAAATCAGCTCAACCTTTCAGGAAGGCAATATAAGTCTATATTTAAAAAAATAAAACACAAAGGTTTGAAACAGCCCATCACTTCGATTTATTTTTTTAAACAATGGACAAGTGTGCAAAGATGTACATACAAGAATGCTCACCATAACTTTTTCCAAAAAGAACTCCAAATTGGAAATCTAAACTCCTAATAGAAAACTAGTTGAATATATCTAGTACATCCACATTATGGAATACTATGCAGTCATTAAAAATGATGATAAAGATGTAAATTTATTGACATGAAAAGACAGTCACATGTAATAAGTGAAAAAGCAGTTTACAAAACAATATGGATTGTAATGATCCCATTTTAAATAAATATATACATGTTTCAATGTATATATTTCTATGGGAAAAACTCTGGAAGGATATACACCAAAATGTTAACAATGGCCATCTCTGGGTGGTAGAATTTTAGACAATTTAATTTGTTTTTGCTTGTTTGAATTTTCTAATGTGTCTACAATGAATATGTATTATTTGCGTAATTTAAAACAAAATAAAACCAGAATCAGGAACATATAACTGTCTTCTCTAGTTCCCTTACTGGAAAAAGGAGTAAATTCCCTTGACCACTTGTTAATTCAGCAAATGTACAAGAATCTAAGCTAACCATCTTGGAGCACTATCAATTGGCAGATAAAAGGTAAGTTGTATCCATTACACTATACTCCTCGTGAGGCAGCTGCTCTGAATTTGAACTCCTCTCTCTACTCTCCCCATCCCTATTTAGCCATCCATTCATCCATTTATTTCATTTCATTCTTGCTATATTCTAGGCACCAAGTTGGAGATGAAAGGTGAATAAAACATAGCCCCCATCCTAGAGGGTCTCACAAGTCTACTAACCCATAAAAATGGCACCTTTCATTTTCAAACACTCACAAGAGTATGTTCCTAGGTTAGGAAATGCCTACACAATATTATAAAGCACAGAAATGGTGCCCAAATGCAGAAAAAGGGGAGGGAGGTATAAATCTTTGTTTTCCTAAGACACCTTCAGAGGCCCATTTCTATGGTAAAGATTCAACTCCAGGACACATCTTTCTCCTAACTGAACACAGATTATTTTTATTCAGACATCCCAGGTAAACCTTACACTAATTCTTAAGAACACTGGCTTTTAAGTCAAACACCTAGATCAGATTTCTGTTCTTGCACTAATTATGAAGATTTAAAGAGATTATTTAAACTATCTAAGCTTTAGTTTCTTCACATGGAAAGTGAGGTTTAAAAAGTCTTATCTTTAGAGAGTTATCTTTAATGAAGACTAAATTAGATAAATGATATAAAACCATAAGCACAGTACCTGGTACTTAGTAAACAATCAATGTTATCTATTTTAATTATGTACAAAATTCAATTCAATCACCCCCTCTGTGGCCCACCAATCTGCTACTTCTCCTGTGTTTGCTATCTTGGTGAATGTTACCATTATTCATCTAGCAACCCAAACTAGACTTTCTCATTAATTATAGAGTTCTCTTTCTAAAATAATCTGCTCAACAACTCCCCTATTGTTTAGCTTTTAGAACCTTGGTCTAACCAGAGCAACTTACATTTTCCATGGGAATATAATTTGAGAACCATCTGCTCCTTGTGACTTTCATGCATGCAATGCAAGAATCACAACTTATAATTTACTTTAAAGGTGAACAGAGCACTATACTTGGAATTGATGGACCAGGAGTAAAGTCCTAGGTCTGCCACTAATAAGCTTTATGTTTTGGGGCAATTCGGATTTTCTCCTAGCCTGTTACTTTATCTGTTCAAAAGAGGACACTTGCCTTGTCTACCCAACTGGTCATTATCAGGCTCAAAACGGAGTTAACTCATAAGAAAGCACTTTATAAACTGTAAAGAGCTATCTATACCAATGCAAATTACTATTATTAAGGTGAAGTTGATTCATGAGGATAAAATAATACCCTATAAAGTTCTTTTGATCTTAAAAAAAAAAAGTTGCCCGGTGTGGCTCAGTGGTTGAGCATTGACCCATGCACCAAGAGGTCACCGGTTTGATTCCTGGTCAGGGCACATGCCCAGGTTGTGGGCCAGGTCCCCAGTGGGGAGCATGCAGGAGGTGGCCAATCGATGTTCTCTCTCATCGATGTTTCTATCTCTCTCTACCTCTCCCTTTCTCACTCTCTAAAAATCAAAGAAAAAAATAAAGATAAAGAAAGTTTAGGATTTGTAAGTCTTCTGTTCCAAACATACCTCATATGTTTCAGTTCTTTCTATCTCATTCTCATCTATATTTAAACATTATCAAGACAAAAATGTACTACTTCACCAGGCAGCCTACTACACAATCTCAGAAAAGGCTTTGGCTGCTAGATAAAATTCAGTATATAGTAACTTTCCTCAGCAACAAATTCCCTTTAAGAGGATTACTAACATATAATGGCTAACTTTGCCTGCACTGTATCTGCAAAGTCACCGGAAGTAAATCTACAGCTATAACTACAAACCACCCAAGTGTGTTATTTTCTAGATAGCTCAAGTTCCTTCAAATATTCCTTTAAGACAGATGAGACTATCTCCTTTCTGAGCAAGCATCCAATTCCTCGTAAAGAGTGGTATACAGAATTGCATGCAATGAGCATTCCTACCTTGATATGACCAATGTAGAGTACAGGGCATATCACCTCTTCTGTCTTAGATAATAAGTTTAATATTAATGCAGTTCACGTATGCAATATTTTTGGAATGTCCACTATACATTGCTGAATCATACTGAGTTTTCTGTTGATTAAATCCTAGTCTTCTTTATTTATACTGCAACTAAGCCCTGCATCCTCTATTCTGTACTTGTTACTCTTAGTCTCATGAATAAAGCCTTATTTAAAAATTTTGTTTCATCTTTTTCCAGTTCTGATCTAAACTCTATAGATTAGATTCCAACTCTGGCAATCAGTCTCTTCACTATTTTCAGCTTCATGTGATCCATAAATTTCACAATATATATTTCCCTTTCTGAACTCAGCCAGCTAATTAACAGTAATATATAACAAAGCAATCTAAGAAAAAAATGGAATGAAACATGGTCTAAAGTACTTTATGCTCCACTTTTTGCAAAAATATCTACCTCCTTTCTGAGCTTAGCAAAGATTTAAAATTTTGAATAATTTAATTTTTAAAGCAAAAAAATATGAAGACCAATGTTATCTTACATACCAGTGCAGGATCTTCACAAAGATCTACCAAAAAAGGAACTTTACTTCAACAAATGTTTATATCATTTCATCAAAACAAGGATTCAAATGTTATCTGTTAGAAATGAGCATAGTTACTTCTGCAGCTAATAAGTTTCCCTTTTGAAAAATGACCCTTGGGCTCTGGCCAGTTTGGCTCAGCAGTTAGAGCGTTAGCCTGCAGACTGAAGAGTCAAGGGCAGGCACTTGGGTTGCAGGTTTGCTCCCTGGCCAGGTCAGGGTCTTGCGGAAGACAACCAACTAATGTGGCTCTCTCACATTGATGCCCCACCCCTCCCAAACTCTATCTTAAAAAAATCAATGAAAAAATATCCTCGGGTGAGGATTAAAATAAAAAGAAAAATGACCCTTGGTTTCATTAAAGATTAGGTTACATGGACCATCAGTCAGACTCAATATTGCAATATCTATAGTTCCAAAAGTTCAAGGAATAGCATTAAACAAGAAAATGAATTTCTCTAATTCAAAGAAACAGAAAGCAGGTGGTCTGAATCTGGCCAGTACCAATTTTAAACCCAGTCCTGTCAATTACTGCTATAGTTGTCTGACCTTGGGTAAGTCACTTACATTTTGAGCCTAAGTTTCTTCATTTGTAAGATGCATATAATATCTCCCTCACAGGGATGTTGTAATTATGGGCCCAGCACGCTTCCGCTGCGCCACTCTGCTACAGGGATGTTGTAATTAAAAGGATCCACCAAGGGACAATAGACGTTCAGTAAATGCTACTTCCAGTCCTTTCTTTTACCTCAATTGACTATGTAACATTCACATTTCTACAGCTAACTTCTAAATGCAATTCAGTGAACAAATACTGGAGCGTGTTGAGATACCAGTTTCACCACTTAGTACAGCCAAATTCCTGCCAAGCAGGGTGGAAGAGATCATTCATATGTGAGTATATTTTTATACAATGTGGCTAAAGAATGAGAACATACAAAAAATAGTTTAAAAGAGAGGCAAATGTATTTATTCTCTCTCATCCCACCATAATGCCTTCCAGCCAAAAAAACAAAAAACAAACAAAAAAAACACCAAAAAACTGCAAAGCTTGGCAGACTGTACCTATACAAATATTATGTGAAATACTAGAAAAGGTTAGAATATTCTAATCATGCTTTTCTGTTAGTCTGAAATATAAAAGCCAAAAATCAAATAATGTGCAATATGGGTCTCATCAGAACAAATCCGATAAAGGAGACTGTTAGCTTGAGTTTCAGCAGGAATTGTTGTCAAAATAACTTTTAATGTTGTGGTATAAAATTATCACTTAAGATCATCTTCCTGGTTTAAATTAAAGAGGCTGAATAATTCACATCAGTAATTCCAAATCAAGGTTTTAGGACTTCTAGAATATTCCCAGGAATTTTAAGGAAAATTCTGAAATGTTAAAAATAAGAACATTTTACTAATTAAAATAATTCATTTTAAGTAACCCTACTAAACAAATTGTTTTGTTGTAATGGCATGTTACAATAATGCATATTTCCAGGCTGCTGTTTGATACCTTTGAAGAAAATATAAAAGAAATTTTAAAAAATGCTTTGGGTTCAGCAGGAACAAGTATACTGGGACTAAAAAAATTATCTGTGGTTGATCAAATGCTAACTTTAACTTAGCAGGACATACCATGGTACTGATACCTTCCTACCTAGAAATGAAACGTACATAATAACATAGGGAGAAAAGAATTCCTCACAGAGAACAGTAGCCTGAAATAAGAGGAAGGAAAGTAAAGAAAGGGTCCAGACCCCTAGTGGAGACCCAGGTTGTAGGAATGAGCAAGGATCATACTTTTTTTTATTTATTTTTTACCACCTTCAAGTTTCCACAAGTATGTTTGCCTTCCAAACTCCATGGTATGAGCAATGGTTTTCTTGACCAAAGCATACACAACAGGAGTTCCATGAAGGTGCTGAGGATGAGGCATTAGAAACCTCTCTCAAACTTCAGTTAAGATACCATGAAATTGTTCAGAATCCAAAGAATCTTCTATGCAATCACATTGAAACAATAAGAAACAAGCATTTTATATTCTTAATAAGGAAGGTATATAATCCTTACCAATGTGACAGGATTAAGAATCAGCTCCTCATTTATCCTAAGGAAATATCAGAGATGTGCATAAAGACTTATGTACAGTGATAGTCATCATACTCATTATATACTGAAAAATAGAAAACAATCTAAATGACCAACAGGGGACTGGTAAAATATATCATAATACATCTATTCATATGTAGGAATACTATGCAATGGTTAAAATCAGGGCCTCAAAGAAAAATTAATGATGCAAAGATATGCTTGCAATATACTAAATTAAAAGGGATACAAAACTACATAGTATGACCCCAATTTTGCACCCCCCTCCCAACATGTATGCATGTAACTGGCAAAGCATATATAAAATCTTATCTGTAGTTACCTGAGTCATAGGATTTTCTTCTTTGTACTGTATTTTCAAAATTATATGCATTTGTTATATATTATTTTTATAAAGATAAAAACCAATCATGTAATTTGGAAAATCCGTTTATTCTAGCTAGGGTGCCCTTATGCCTGCTTTGCTATTCCTCCAGTAACTAAAGGCCTGCTAGTATTCAAGACTGTTCTATTTTCTAGACAAGGGTAGGAATGACCTCTGGTTATATCTTCATTTTAAGAATTTTTTTCTTTCCTTTTTGGTCCTGTGGTTTTGGCCTCAGGAAATAGATACATTTTAGGCCTCAATCCACCTCATGTTTTGTGGAGTGTATCCCTAAGGGGAATTCTGCTTATGAAACAAGAGTATGTTGGGATAGGAATAAAAAAAAGAAAACACGGGTAGCCAAAATTAAATCTGCATTGTGAATAGCAAGTATTAGAATTGACACTGCAGAAAACAGAATCCATGCCACGGAGAACAAACTTGAGTAAATGAAAAAGAAAGTGAAAGAAAATATTTAAAAACTATGGAGGACAGACATAGAAATAATCTATGAATAACAGATGTTCCTAAAGAAAAAACAGAGCAGTTTAATCAATCAAAAGTATAAGAATACTTTCCAGTTCCAAAAAAATACCTGAGACTGGAGACTGAGAAGGTTCAACAGAGATCATCAACACCAAGACATGTCCTGGCAAATGTTTTTAAATTTCAAGGATAAAGATATAATCCTACAAGCATACAAGCAGAAAAAAATAGGTTATTTTAAAAAGAACTAAAATCAGACTGACCTCAGAGTTTTCCTCTGCAATAATAAAATGCCAGAAGACAATGAAGTAATGACTTACAGAGAGATGAAAGGGAAATGTTATGATCTAAGAATTTTATACCTTGTCCTAGTTTTTCATGTACAAACGTCACAGGAAATTATTCTTAGGTCTGCAAAGCCTTATAAAATGTCACCATCCTGGTAGTACCTTTTTTCATAAATTGTTCAAAGGTGTGTCCTAGACTACTAAAAGAGAATCAAAATAAGAATTCAAGAATATTGAGGTAGGAAAGAACTGAAGTAGACTGATGCCAACTAATATCTAGAAATGATTGAATAGAATAATTAAGCCCACTAAAAAAGAAAGGGTCAAAAGTAAAGAATAAATAATTAATATAAGTATATAAACAATATAAAACTTTAGAAAGTTAAAGGTAAGATCTGTAACCTCAGGCTAAATTAATGTGGACTCAAAATAAAAGTTAGTGGAAGTAGGGAGAAACAAAGATTCTAAATATTCTATCTTTCCTAGAATGATATTTAAAAACCGCTATTTTTAATAATTAGCTAGTAAATATAAATTTTACAATGTTTTGAAAAACCATACAATAATCAATAATTTTATTTATTTATTGCAGTCCAAATCACTAGAAGATAATAACTGGCAAAGACTGTGAATAGTACTTTACACAGGTACTACATTCAACCCTAAGAACACGAGGTAGGTATAAGTATCCCTGTTTTACAAATGAGGAAACAAAGGTTCAGCAAAGTTAATTAGTGAAAGGCAGAAGAAGGATTCAAACCCAGGTCTTTCCAGTTTCATAATTCTTTCTCCACTATTTCATAACCTCCTCAACAAAATAATCTATATGGTACAAGTAAAAAACAATACAATAAAAAACTTAAAATAGGATGAATGATCATTCCAAAAGTAATAATGTAAGAAATGTAAAGTTTAAAGTATCTAATTAAAATCAAGGGTCTTACTGTATATTTAATGCTATTACAGAATTGCTGATGTTTTTATGAGTGATGATTGTATGGTAGTTACGTGTTTAAAAAAGTCTTTATATTTTCATAAATATAAATGTAAATATTTACATTTGACTTGATGTTTCTAGGATTAGCTTCAAAATAATCCACTGGAGCCAGGGAGGGAGGAGAGAGTATGTGTAAGGGTTGATGATTCTTGAGGCTGGGTTATGGGAATATGATGGTTTGTTATACTGTTCTCTCCATTGTGGCATGTGTTTAAAATGCTCGATAACAAAAACTTTTAAGAGTCTTAGTTTGTATTATTTAAAAGGTTAAAATACCCAAACAATCACTTACTACTTTAAAGAGAAACCCAAACAAAACAGACAAGTACAGAAAAGCATAAAGGAAAAGAAAGCAAGTATTAGTTAGATTAAGGCCAAAAATAAACTGTGAGGCAAAAACCTTAAGCCAGTTAAAAAGGTCATTTAATTTGGACTAAAAACATAATTAGTACTTAATACACACAGTAATAATAATTGCTATCATTTACTGAGAAATTACCACACACCAGACAAGTGCTAAGTACTATAAATCATCTTTCAGAGACATGATCATCAATTTACAAATGAAGAAATTAAGCCAAGATGGTTATGTCAAACTTTTTTTTTCCCTTTATTGATTTTAGAGAGAGAGGAAGTGAGAGGGAGAAAGATATAGAAACATCGATGAGAGAGAACACCGATTGGCTGCCTCCTGCATGTCCCCCATTGGGGATCCGGCCCATAACCTGGGCATGTGCCCTAACCAGAAATCGAACCCGCAACCTCTTGGTGCGTGGGTCGATGCTCAACCACTGAGCCACATCAGCTGGACGGTTATGTCAATTTTTTTCAATACTGTGTCCTCAACCCCTAGCAAAATGCCTAGCACACAGTAAATGCTTAATAAATATTTCAATAAATTTTGAAAAAGCCTAATATCCTGCCTAAGGTTAATAAGCAAAGCCTAAATTTAAACGCAAATTTGATTCTAAAACCCCTACTCTTAATCACACTTAATTTTGATAATGGTATTTCATAGCAACAGTATGAAATGTATATATTTCTCTATTTTTCAGATTTTCTATAATTAGCATGTGTCATTTTTTTCAAACAAGTCATTAAAATAATAAATGCAAAATAGTATTGAATATTTAATCACAGACTAACCTAACCACAAAACACAACATATATTTTGGGGTCCATAACATGAAATAAATGGAAACAAAATAGAAGGATAAATTTTAGCACACTAATATCAACTAGCATAGTGAACAAAATAAGGAAAAAGCATATGAAGTAACTTAGAATAGATATATACTGAATTTTACAATGTAAAATGAATATAGGTTCTTTTCAAGTAATTATAAAGACAAATCATGTTCTAGACCATAAAATTCAAAATTCTTAAAAGCAGAAATAACGCAGACCATATTTTCTGATTATGATATAAACTGAATAAAGAAATAAACTAAAGCACTCACTCAGAAATTAATATTCTTCTAAGCAACTACTGGCTCAAGGAAATAATAATAGCTATCATTTATACAATGCTTATTTTGTTCCAAGTATAGAATTAGTTATGTTACACATATTCTCTTGTTTAATCTCAACTAATCACTAATAAACCATGAGGTATGCTATTATGTATAGCAGAGAAAAAAGTTAGGTTGAGATTTAATAACTTGATCAAGATCACAGAGCTATTAAGTTTGCAAATAAGATAATTGAGCCCAAGTCTGAATCCAAAGCTTATACTACTACAAAGAAATGCTGTTGTATATTACTGTTAGAATTCAAATATAGGCATCTAGTTATGTTCATTTTTCTCTATTTATAAAATAAAACTTTGTAATAAAAAGTGGAAAAAACTACAGTTCTTCTTTAACACATGTTCTGAAAGTGTCCATTTGTTAAATACACTATTCTAAGAAGGTAATGGCTCATTTTGCTATCATTGATCAGATATATTATTTCAAATTGCATAATCTTCTAAGAGATTCCTTTGAATATATTTATATTCTCAATAGGACAATTAAAAAAGGAAGAAACCTGCCCTGGCCGGTTTGGCTCAGTGGTTGGAGCGCCGGCCTGCAGACCAGAGAGTCCCAAGTTCGGTTCCCACTAGGGGCACGTACAAAAAAAAAAAATTAAAAAAAGGAAGAAACTATAATATTAGATAAATAAAGTAGGGAAGATAAGGTAAACATGATTTGCCACTAAATGTATTTCTAAAAATCAGTGTGACCTTGGAAAAGTTACTATTTTCTGGTACTTATATGCAATCCATAAGAGTTTGATGGAACCTTGGCCAGGATGGATCTGAAAGTCAGCCACTAACTGTGGGCAAGCCCTTAAGCCTCTTCGAGTTGTGGCTTTCTTCATGAATAAAATACGTGGATACCTAAGAGCTCTTCCTGCTTGGAAATGTTATAATCCTGTGACTTCAAGGATTAAAGTTATTTAAGATTTTGTAAGGTTTTTACACCTGAGGAAATGACTGATTCTGTATTTAAAGCTGTTTTTATGTTATTTCTAATTCCTTCTTTCTCTTGTGCATCCAAAAATAGTTTTATCTATATCCTTCAGTGGTGTCTTTGTACTCAAGTGTAAGCAAGAAATAATGCCAAAGAAAGGATTGCACAAATGTCACCTGAAAGAGAAATACTAATAAAAAGAAAACATTGTTTTTCTCTGCAGATTAAGGAACCTAAAGCAATTTCATAATTTTCACAATTCAATCTTACTGTTCTTACTTTGCTAGTATTGAAAACTATTAAAATGTCAACTCTTTTTTTAAATGCTTCTGTCTACTTCTAGCCAGCCTTATGCCCGCCTTCCTAATACCTTCAAACCCCACTTCTTAGTTCTCATGGAGTTTGTAGTATTTCTCATACCTGCCTGATGATCAGACTCACCTAAGATTCCCGTTAATGATACATTATTTGGCCTTACCCCAAACCAAAAATGAATCAGGAGTTCCAGAACCTACTGGCTCAGTATTTCATTTTTTAAAAAGGTACCTTAGATGAATGATTCCTGTGATTAGACAGTCTGGGAAATCACAGTATAGAGAAAAGATGAAGGGCTTTGGAGCCTGACATCAAGTTTCAAAACCTGGCTTTGCCCTTTATTATAGGTGTGACTTTGGGCAAGTTACTTAACATGAGTCTCAGTTCTCTATCCAAAAGATTTGGATACTAGTTGTGTGGAAGGTTGTGGTAAAGTTCATTATGCCTAGCCAAGTTGGGTGTTTAGTAAATGTTAGTTTCTCTTTCTTCCTGCTCATCTTGCCACAGGAAATGAAAAATACAAATATTTGAGGGGATTCTGATGAGTCTCTTACCCTAATGGGTCCACTTCCATTTTTAGGGCTAAAAATCTGAGTACTAGATAATTGTTTAATGCATTACTTGGGTTGGCTAATTTAAGAGTCTCAGGAACAAATCTAATAATTTCTTCTGGTTTCCAGAGGCTTAAAGAAGCCCTCCTATCTAAAACAGAGATGACCATTATGCTAGGCTTCAAAGTTCAAGACTGTGGCAAGAATACCTGAACCTCTGTTTCCTCATCGGTAAAATAAGTGGTGCTCAAATGTTTCCCGAATTGACCACAATACATTATTGATAACGTAACTGTTAATTAATAATCACTTAAAATAATTAACTTATACAAGTCTTACAAACATCTTTATGAACAAAAAGACAGCAATAATAGCTTGTAAGTAAGTGAAACGAGACAGGATAGGACTTGCTCAAATACACAATAAATCAGAGCTTAACATCCAAGCAAAATTCTTGTGTAGTATCAACTGTCTTTTAAAAAAATTAAATTTATTGGGGTAATATTGGTTAATAACATTATATAAGTTTCAGGCATGCAATTCTACAATACATCATCTGTATATTGCATTGTGTGCTCACCACCCAAAGTCTAGTCTCCTTCCATCACCATATAGATGATCCCCTTTATCCTCTTCATCCTCTCCACCACCTCCCTTCCCCTTTGGTAACCACCATACTTCAACTGTATCTTAACACAAAATGTTTTAGACAAGTTTGGAGTTGAATGAGGAAAAAAACAATCCAAACTACTTATTCATTTTTAAAAATGTGTGTGTGTTTATTTAAAAATTATCATACGTATAAACACACAATCCGTCAACAAGACTTATTTCTGAAAAAGTAATCAGAAATACAGTTTCTAACTACAGATCCATGATTAAATCTAGCTTCATGTATATATATTATGCATATACACTGTTAATAAGTCTTTTAGTCCGCCTGGCTGGTGTGGCTCAGTGGTTGAGCATCAAACCATGCACCAAGAGGTTGCCAATTCGATTCCAGTTCAGGGAATGTTATGGGCCAAATCCCCAACGGGGGGGGCATGCAGGAGGTGGGCAATCGATGTTCTCTCTCATCGATGTTTCCATCTCTCCCTCTCCCTTCTTCTCTCTCCAAATAAGAAAAAAAATTTAAAGAAGAGTATTTTACTAAAAATTATTAGCATTAATTGTTTACTAAGCTATAAAATAATGAAATTTTAAAAGCTAAAAATCTGTGAACATTCAAGACAGAAGGAAGTTACCCTCAATTCTTAAAAAATAAGAAAAAAACAAACCTCGAATCCTACTGAAAGTAATTTATTTATTTTTCTAATGAAAGTAATTTAAAGAATCATAGCTTTCTCTTGACTTATTCAAATTATTCTTTAATGCAAATGAGTTCCATTCAGTTTCTTCCCTTTGCTTGTTATGTTTATTTCCAGACATTTACAGTAATATTTTTACTGCTATTTTGAATGAGATCTTTATTCTAATCAGGAAAGCTATTTATTGATTTCTGAATATATTTTGTATAACATCACCCTATTAGACTATTATTAATTTTAACAAAACTTTTTAGTGGGTTCCTTAGGTAATCTAAGTAGATGGTATCTATCATCTATGAATAGTAATCTTTTATCTTTCTTTTGAATACCTTTGATTTTCTTGTCCAATTGCATTAGCAAACTCTTCTAGAACATAAAATAGAGGTGAAAACAGCAGGCATGGTTTTAATGAGATGTCCTATATTATGTCCCCATCAAGCATGATGCTGGCTATTGATCTGGGATATTTTTAATAACATTAAGGACACAACCTTTTATTTCTATTTTACTAAATTTTTAATTGAGAACAAACATTGAATTTTATCTAATGCTTTATGACTTTTTAAACTTTCTAATTATAAATGATTATAGGATCACAGGAAGTTGCAAAAAGAGTAGAAAGGCCCCATATATCCTTAACCCAGTGGTTTCATATTACATAAATCCCTGTCAATCACAGAAAATGTATACTGGTACAATGCATAAACTTTATTCAGAATTCACTGGTTTTACCGGTTCACATGTGTGTGTGCACACTACATATTTTACCACATGGATAGGTTCCTGTAACTACCACCACAGTAAAGATACTGAACAATCTATCACCACCAGGGTCCTACGTTTTGCCTTTATAACCATACCCACCTCCCTCCCTCCCCTCTTCCTAACCTTAGCAAACACTAATCTAGTCTCCATTTCAACAATTTTGTCATTTCAAGAGTGTTATATTAACGCAATCACATAATATGTAACCTTTTTTCACTCAGCATGAATTCCCTTGAGATTCATCAAAGATTGTGTGTATCAATAATTCCTTTTCATTGCTGGGTAGTATTGGATGGTGTGGATGTACCACAGCCTGTTTAATCACAGCCTGTTCACCCATTGAAGGACATTTGGTTTCTAACTTTTGCATATTACAAATAAAGCTGCTATGAACATTTGTGTACAGACTTTTGTGTGGACATACATTTTCATTTCTCTGGGATAAATGCCCAGTAGTATGACTGCTACGTCATATAAGTGAGTGTATGTTTAGTGTTTTTAAGAAATGGCCAAACTATTTTCCAGAAGAGCTATATCATTTTACATTCCCACCACCCATTTGTCCACATCCTCAACATTTGGTATTGTCATTATTTTTTACTCTGGTTATTCTAATAGGTGTGTAGTGATATCTCATTGTGGTTTTTTCATTTTCCTGATAACTAACCATGTTGACATCTTTCATATACTTATTTGCTACCTATATATCCTCTTTGGTGAAATATCTGTTCGTCCCTTTTATCTAACTTCTAATTGTATTGTTTGTCTTTGTTACCATTAAGTTTTGAATGTTCTTTATATTCTAGATATAAGTCCTGTCTCAGATATAGGCTTGAAAATATTTTCACCCAATCTGTAGCTTATATTTTCATCCCCTTAACTGGATCTTTTTCATAGAAAGATCTGAATTTTTATGAAGTCCAATTTATTTTTTTCTTTTATGGATTATACATTTGCTGTCTGGTCAAAGAACTCTTCAATTAGCCCAGTCCTGAATACTTTCCCCTATATCTAAATTGTAAAAGTTTTACAGTTCTACATTTTATATATAAATCCCCAATCCATTTCAATTCATTTTTGTATAAGGCATGAGGTTTAGGTTGAGGTGATCATTTTACCTATGGATGTGTAATTGCTCCAAGCTCCACTGTTAAAAAGGCTACCTAGCTTTCCTCCAATGAATTGCTTTTGACAAAATCAGTTGGGCATACTTCTATGGCTCTATTTCTGGGTTCTCTATTCTGTTCCATTGGTCTGTGCTTTTTTCCCTTCACCAATACTAGAGAATTTTGATTACTGAAGCTATATAGTAAGTCTTAAAATTGGGTGAAGTGATTCCTCCCACTTTTATCTTGTTTTTCAATATTTTAGTTCCTTTACCTTTCCATATAACTTTTAGAATAAGTTTATGTTAAACCGATAGAAGAATTTGGGGATAACTGACATCTTGACCGTTGTTTTCCGATTTATGAACACGGTACATCTCTCCATTTATTTAGACCTTTGATTCCTTTCATCAGCATTTTTTAGTTGTCAGCATACAAATTCGAGTTTTGTTAGATGTATACCTAAGGTTTTCTCTTTTTTTTTGAGTAATTTCAAGTGGTACAGTTTTTCATTTCATTTTCCACACATTCATTGCTAGTATATATTCAATTTACTCTTGTACACTGATTTTGTGTCTTACAACTTTGCTGAATTCAATTAGTTCTAGGTTTATGTGGATTTCTTGAGAGTTTCATTGGAGACCATCATGTCATTCAAACAGGCAGTTTTACTTCTTCCTTTCAAATCTTTGTGTTTTATTATTTCCCTTTCTTGCCTATTATGCTGGTGAGAATTTTCAAGATTATGATGAATAACAGTGGTGAGAATGGACATCCTTGACTTGTACCTGGTATTAATGGGAAAGCGGATAGTCTTTCACCATTAAGTACAATGTTAGTTGTGGGTTTTTCGTAAATGTTCCTTATCAAGCTGAGAAAGGTCCCCTTTTATTCTTAGTTTGCTGAGTTTTTTAAATGTTTAATTTTGTTTAATGCATTTTCTGCATTAATACAATGATTTTTTTCCAGTTTTTTAATATGGTAGACTACATAGTTATTTTTGAATACTGAACCAGTCTTACATACTTGGAATAAAACCCACTTGGTCATAGGTATAGTTTTTTATATACTGCTGGATATGCTTTGTTAATAGTTTGTTGAGGATCGTGTGTTCCATATTCTTTTTTTGTTATTGTTCATCCTCACCTGAGGATATTTTTCCATTGATTTTTAAATAGAGTAAAAGGGAGGGAGGAGATAGGGAGAAAGGGGGAGAGAAAGAGAGAGAGAAAACATCCATGTGAGAGAGACATCGATTGGTTGCCTCCAGCACGACCCTGACTAGGCCAGGGATCAAACCTGCAAATCAGGTATGTGCCCTTGACCAGGAATCAAACCCGAGACCGTCGGGTCCATGGGCCAACACTCTACCGCTGAATCAAACTGGCCAGGGCTGTTTTAAGTTCTTGAGGGATACTGGTTTATAGTTTTCTGTACTGTCTTTAGGTTTTGGGATCAGGGCAATAGTGGCCTCAAAAAATGAGTTATGAAGTCTATCCTCTTATTTTCTGAAAGAGACTGTGTACAATTCATGTTATTCTTATTTCTTTACTCGTATGTTCTAGATCCTTCTTTTACCATTTTCCTTCTGCTTGAAGAACTACCTGTAATCATTTCAGGGTCTGGTACTGACAAATTCCTTAAGTTTTCCTTCATCTGTGACTGCTTTGATTGTACCTTGGTTCCCGAAGAATATTTTCATTAGGTATAGAATTCTGGGTTCAGTTCTTTTCTTTCAGAACTTGAAAAACAGTGTGCCATTTCCTCTGGCTTCCATGGTTTCTAATGTGGGATCTGCTGTCATTTGAATCATTGTTCCCCTGTAAGTAATAGTTCATTTCTCTCTAACTGCTTTCAAGATCCTTTCTCTTTACTTCTATATATCCTAAGAAGCCTGAAACATCAATCAGAAAGAATATATTCACCCCTATGTTCATAGCAGTGGTATTTACAACAGCTATGATATGGAAACAGAGTAAGTGTCTAGCAGTAGATGAGTGGTTAAAAAAACTGTGGTACATTTACATAATGGAATACTATACAGCTGTAAAAAATAAAGATCTCTTACCCTTTGAGATGGCCTGGAGGGACCTGGAGAGCATTATGCTAAGGGAGATAAGCCAATCAGAGAAAGACAAATATCATATGATATCACTTATTTGTGGAATATAATGAACAAAATAAGCTGGTGAACAAAACAGATCCAGAGACATGGAGGTAGGGAAGAGACTGACAAACCTCAGAGGGAAGGTGGGGGGGGGGAGATAAACCAAAGAACTTATATGCATATATGCATAACTAATGGTCACAGACAACAGTGTGGCAAAGGCAGGGGGGACAGGACTGGGGAGGATGGTGTCAATGGGGGGGAAAAGAAAGAAATATGTAATACAACAATAACAATTTTAAAAATTAGGGAACTTTTTTAATTGTGGTAAAATACACATACAATGTATCTTAAACATTTTTAATGTACAGTTCAATGTTAAGTATATTCACGTTGTGCAGCCAATCTCCAGAACTTTTTCATCTTGTAAAGTTCAAACTCTATACCCATTAAACAACTTCTCATTTCCAAAGGTTTGATTATGATGTGTCTGGGTGTGAATTACTGTGGGTTTATACTGTTTGGGGTTCAGTGAGCTTCTCAAATTTGTAGGCTTGCATCTTTTGCCAACTGGGGACATTTCAGTCTATTTCTTCAGGTCCACATTTTTTCTCTACTTTCTGACTCTGATGACATGTTAAATATTTTATTAATAGCCCTGGCTGGTGTGGCTGTATGGTTAGAGTGTTTACCTGCCCACTGAAGAGTTGCGGGTCTGATTCCTGGTCAAGGGCACATACCTGGGTTGCAGGTGATGATTCCTGGCCCCAGTTGGGGCATGTGTGGGAGGTAACCAATCGATGTTTCTCTCTCTCTATTTCTTTCTTTATCCCTCCCTCCCTTCCACTCTCTGTAAAAAAAAAAAAAAAAAAAAAAAAAAAGCAATGGAGCTCAGTGGTTGAGCATCAATCCATGCACCAAGAGGTTACCGGTTTGATTCCTGGTCAGGGCACATGCCCAAGTTGTGGGCCTGATCCCCAAGGAGGGCATGCAGGAGGTGGCCAATCAATGTTCTCTCTCGATGTTTCTATCTCTCTCTCCCTCTCTAATATCAATAAAGAAAAAACATCAATGGGAAAAATATCCTTGGGTGAGAATTAACAACAACAAAAATATTTTATTAATGTCCTCCAGCCCTGTGAGGCTCTCTTCATTTTCTGTTGTTGTTCAGAGTAGGCAATTTCGATTGCTCTATCTTCATTTTTAATGCCTCCTATCATCTCCATTCTTCTGTTGATGCCATGCAAGTTTATTTCAGTTATTGTATTTCTCAGTTCTAAAATTTCCATTTTCTGCTCTGTGCCTTTTATTTCTTTTCTGAGACTAACACTTCATTTGTTTCAAATGTGTTTGTGATTGCTCACTGAAGCATTTTTATGATGGCTGTTTAAAATCGTTGTCAGATAATTCAACATCTGAAGCATCTTGGTGATGGTATCTGTTGACTATTTTCTCATTTGTGTTGTCTTTTCCAGGTTCTTAATATAAGTGATCTTCAACTGTATAACGGACATTTTGGAGATTAGAAGACTCTGGCTCCTATTTAATATTTTTTTTTTAGCAGGCTGTCCACCAGTTGAGATGTAGTGTGAGGGCAGGGTGAGTGTGTATGTTTAACTTCCTGCTGTGCTCCACCATCACCACCTTGCAAAAGTGGAGCAATGAGTCACAATGCTTTTCTGCAGAAGGGTGGGATGGAAGTTCAGCTCCACTCTTGGTCCCAGTGAAAGTGGGGCACCAACCAGCACCACCTCATTGCTTCTGTGTAAGGGTATAAACTTAGCTCCCTGATGCATCTCACTGGCAATAGCAAGGAGAGAAACAGAGGACTGTCTTGTATTGCTTTGTTACTGCAAGGCAGAGTGGAAAGTTCAGTTCCCTAAAGGGCCCAGTTGACAACTTGAAAGAGAGGTGAGAGGGGGAAGTGGAGTGCTAATTAGCACTGCCATCCACCACTTTGTCCCACCTAGTAGACGCCAGATGGGGGTGGAGTCTCAGCTCCACAGTGGGCCCACTGACATCAGAGGAGGGAGGCAGTGTTAACTAGCCCACCTCCAACCATCTTGTTCTGCCTTGCTAATGTTGGGTGAGGGTGGAGACTCAGCTCCTCATTGACACAGGGTGAGGGAGGCTTAGTGGCGACTAGCCCTGCCTCACACCACTTTGATAAGTCTCACTGAGTATACGTTGGTGTGAAGGTTCAACTGGCTGCTGGACCTGGCTGACATTACCCTAGTGAAAGCACCATCTCCTTCTGCAGGGGATAAGATGAGGAAAAATCAAGTCTCTGATTACCCTACCAAAAACACCCAGCAGAGGGAATCAAAATGCTGCCTGCTTTTCCTAGGCAGGGAATGGAGAGATTAGGTCCCTGGTCTACCCAGCCAACACTACTAGGTGGAGGAATCTGAGCACTGCCACTTGCTTTCTTGGATTAGGGTGTTTTTCTATTGATGTTTAGCTACAGTAAGGGTGGGTAGTGCAAAAAAAAAAAAAAGTTTACTATTGTTAGGCTACCCTTTCCCCAGTCATCTGGCTAGAGAGAATAGGCTTTTCTTGGGGTCCATTTTGTCTGTGCCTGTTGGTGGTTTTAGGTTGGATGCTTTACAGCACCCAATCTAGGATATATGGGAGGAAAGGAGAAAACCCAGGGAACTGTTTGTGCCATGCCTTGAGTCCCAAAACCTGTAGGCAGTCTGCCTTCTTGTTTCTACCTTTCAGGTTGTTCCTGTGCTTTTGTGTTGTGTTATGTCTAAGGTGTTTAAGTTGTAAAGGAGGATGTAGAACGAGTAGGGCTACTCCATTCATCTTGACAGAGTCAGGGGTGTACTCTCTCCCTCCCTCTCTGTGTGCATGTTAAAAAGAACTTTATTGGGTGTCGGGCTGAAAACATTTATTTTGTAGCTTTCCACATTATGGTTAAGAATGCACTATGGGTCGTGGCCAGTTTGGCTCAGCAGTTAGAGCGTCAGCCTGCAGATCATCCAGTTTTGGGTTCAATTCCTGATCAAGGGCATGTACCTGGGTTGCAGGTTTGATCCCCCGCCCCATCAGCGTCATGTGGGAGGCAACCAATCGATGTGACACATCGATGTTTCTCTCTCTCTCTCCCTTCCTCCTTTCCACTCTATCTAAAAATCAACGGAAAAATATTCTCAGGTGAGGATTAACAACAACGACAACAAAAAAGCACAATGGAAACTGTTATAAAATTATAGATCATAATTTTGCCCTAAAGATCCAATTACATCTGTTTATATCATTCCTGGATAATTTAGCCTGCTTCATGTTTTTCAGCAGTCTGTCTACCTCAATACTTTTTAGACTATAATATTCCAACGAAAAGAATTTTATTTCATTCATCATCACCTATACTATACACTCTCAGAACAGCCAGAAGGAAAAGATAGCTTTAAAACTCATTTATGAGCTCTTCTTCTTAATAACCCAAGGGAAATCTTATTGTTAACTTGCTGGTGGCATCTCTTCAAGTAAACCCCCTGACTGCTATCAACATCCATTATGATATTTGTCTTGAATTATACCAATAGCCAGCAGAAACTTGAAGAAAAGGAGGCAAACATAGGTTTTATCACACATTTTTACTTCTTTATTATTATTTTTTTTTTATCATCCTCACCCGAGGACCTTTTTCCATTTTTTGTTCAGGTAGAGTGGGAGGGAGAGAGAGGAACAGAGAAAGAGAGAAACATCGATGTGAAAGGGACACATCAAGTGGTCACCAACCGCACAACCAACCAGGGCCGGGGACAAACTGCAACCAAGGTACATGCCCTTAGCGGGAACTGAACCCGGGTCTCTCCAGACCGCAGGCCGATGCTCTAACCGCTGAGCTAAACCGGCCAGGGCCATTTTTACTTCTTTAAATAAAACACCTGTATATTTCACTTTATTTAAGAGATGAGTTCTTGAATTCACTTATTTGATTTATATTTAATTTCAGATATTCTAGAATTTCTATTTTGATTGACCTTCAATTAATGTCTGTATTCTTGCTTTAAATAAGAAACTAGAAAATAGTATAATAAGACTGAGGAGAATATAAGAAAAATATTACTACCTCAATCTTTGCTTTCTTTCTATAATTTTCTATAATTAACCTTCAACTCTTTGTTGTGTCCCTTTAGGAACTCTGCTCTGGCTGGGAGAAGGGGTGGCGCAGGTGATGAGGTATCCTAAGGTACTTCCATAGAACATGAGGCTCTATTATCCCACTTGGAAAACGGCCGTTCTAGGAAAAGCTTTGTATTTATTAAACCTAAAAATGAAGAAAATCTTTTAAAAGCACAAATTGAAACTAAATTTTCTGAGAATTATGTATATAACCTAACATAGTTATGGATCTTCTATATCAGCATTAGAGCAAAACTCCATTTAAGTTCCCAAATCAGTAACATAATAAGAACAGGAGTTAATTTCTTATACAAGCAGATGATAAGCACATGAAAAGATCCTTCACATTCTTAGTAACTAGGGAAATGCAGATCATAAGCAACAATGAGATACCATTTCACACACACTAAGACGGCTATAATGAAAAAGACGGTAACAAGTGTTGGTGAGGATTTAGAGAATTAGAGCTCTTATATACTGCTGTTAGGAATGTAAAATGGTATAAGCAAGTTGGAAAACAATTGGCAATTCTTCAAAATTTTAAATATAGACTTACCATATGACAAAGCAATTCTACTCCTAGGTATATACCCAAGAGAACTGAAAATATATGATCACATAAAAACTTGTATATAAATGTTCACAGCAGTATTATTCATAATAGCTCAAAAGTGGAAACAACCCATATGTCCATCAGTCGATGAATAGATAATCAAAATGTGGTATATCCATATAATGGAATATTACTCAGCCATAAAAATGAAGCATTGACACATGCCATAACATGGATGAACCTTGAAAACATTATGGTAAGTGAATGATGCCAGACACAAAAGACATATATTGCTTCATTCCATTAATATGAAATGTCCAGAATAGGCAAATCTATAGAGACAGAAGCAGATTATTGGTTGCCAGGGGTTGGGGGAAGGAGGAAATAGGGAGTGACTGTTAATGAGAATGGAATTTATTTTGAGAGAGATAAAAATGTTCTGGAATTAATTAGATAGTGGTGATGGTTGCACAACCTTGTGAATACACTAAATACCACTGAATTGTAAACTTTACAAGGGTGAATGTTGTGGTAGGTAAATCATATCTCAATTTTTTAAAAGATTAACTAGGGCTATTTGACCTAAGTTTAGTCCCCACTCCCCCTGCAAAAAAAACCAAAAAAACAAAAACCACCAATGACTGTAACTTTTCTTTAAATTTCCTTTTCTTATACTGTAGCAAGATAATTGATAACTTTTTCAGGTTGAGCCAGATCCTGTTTTCTGGTACTTGGAGGGAGTATCAAATAGATTTTTCTGAAAAGAAGAGGCAAATATAGAGAGGTAATGATTTAATACACTGCAGTTAAAAACCAGAGCACAGTTCCTCAGCACACACTTAGGCACTTCTGTACGGAGAGCTGTTAAGTAACCTCTAATTTTTGTTTCAAATGTTCATTTATAAGACAGCTGTTTAGAAATCTCAAAACATTTTCCCATACAATGTCACAAAGGCTGCTTCTCAGGCCAGCTCACAAAAGTCTATTTAACCCATGCTGTATTTAGAGAATAATATCAATTTATTTTTCTAACTCTACCTATACATTCCCATAAAAATATCTACTCATGCAAATGACCTGTAGGAAATTTCATCTAGACCAAAGCAGTCACCTCAACTCAAGCAGGGCAGTTTAGATGAAAGCCAATAGAATTGGAAATCTGTGAGGCTTGGGTCTGAATCCTATCTCCTCCACTTACAAGCTATGTGACCATAAGCAAGTTACTTAACCTTTCTAGGCTTTAGTTTCCTCGTCAGTAAGTTGAGGATAATTATGTCTACCTCATTTGAATGGATATACAAAAGTGTCTAGTCAGAGGGGCATTCAGTAAATCTTAATCTCCAAGGTGTATCAATACCCCTTTCCAGTATTAATATAGCACACTATAGTGAATAATGCAACATATTTTGATAGCCAAAATTTCCCAATGTGTTGTTATCACTTGAATGAGAAATGTCACTGTAAAACTAGTTAAGTTGTAGAAAGTGCAGAATGGCTATTTGAGGGGCATGTATCACCTAGCAGGGCTTATCAAAATCTTCATGGTAGGAGAGAGACAAAACAAAGCTGATTAACCATAATTTGAAAAAGTATATTAAATATACTGTTCATTTAGAAAACACTTTAAATTTCCTTTTCTTATACTGTAGCAAGATAATTGATAACTTTTTCAGGTTGAGCCAGATCCTGTTTTCTGGTGCTTGGTTTTTAAGGTATGTAAGCCTACTTATTTCAATATATAAATAATATAAGGTAGAGTTGAATAACACCAGTGTAGGAAAAAAGGGTTCAATTTGTACTAATCCTGTAACCTAGAACTATGCTGTTCAGTGTGGTAGCCAATAGCCACAGGTGACTATTTAAATTAAAAAGTTAAATTTACAATTCAGTTCCTCAGTCACTCTAGTCACATTTCAGGTGCTGCTGAACAATGCCAATCTAGAAGTTTTTCTTTTCTTTTTTTTTCAATTTTAAGTGAATCTCTCCTATTATTTTATATGGTTTTGAGGCAGAGAATTCTGCCTCTAAATGTGAATAACTGAAATAACACTCTGGTAACTAAGGTTTTAGGTATAGGTTCTACAAGATTTCTGGAGTGAAGATTTCTCCTAAAACACTGCACATGAGATGCACTTCAATCTATTAATGTCAAAATGATCTTTTGCTTCAGGCTATCATTTGACATCTGCTTCTAACACATATCAAATAACTGAACCAAGTTTCATATAACAAGCTTTGTGGACCAAAGGATTAGAGGCCAAGTTCTCAGAAATCTAGATGGCCAGGTCAGATTTGAAGATGAGATCATCATCATATGTCAGATTATAAAAATCAATTTACATGGTGGATAAAATATAAATTAGTTTTTAAGGTATGTAAGAAACCATGGACATGTTAGTCAAGATAGGAAATCTGATTTAAGTTATGTATTGCTGTAATTCTATTTATATTAACAAAGGAGAATGACAGGAAATATAAAAGCACTTTTGTATTTACACATAAGTGTAGGGTATCTAATATTCAGGAAACTAGCACTGTTTTATGACACCCGACCCACCCTCCCACCCCCGCCCCACACACAAACACAAGCTAAAGGACAATGTGGAGTCCTGACTCCAGGTGGGGCAGTAGGCTAGCTTTTGGTCTTCTAGCTGCTTGTTCTTTAGTTCATGCACATTCCTTCACCTTCAAGACAGGAAGGTAAATATGCAGAATAGGTAATGCCAGTAATTGAGCCATTGTGTTATGGTATATTGAAGCATAAAATCACTGTTTATTAGTAGGTAATATGCCCATCAAATACTCCTGACCCCAGAAGTATGTGTATGTGATGGGCAGAGATCAGAAAAAGGTGAGGATGCTATTTTACATTTTTGGTCAGCTGTAAGGGTAATTTAAAAAAAAAATGATGTGACAATGCTCCCAAGTTAAAAATGTCTACATCAAAATATCATTAATCCTAGCTATCTGTTTTCTAGTAATTTCAAGTTAGAAGCAATTAATTAAAAAAAAGAGAATGGGAGAAGTAGGCAGATTGACAGCAGCATAAAGTAGCAAATGATAAGAGGGTCTTTTAAAACTATGAATATTACACATGAATTACAGAGCAAGTCAACGTAGGGGACATTTTGCAGGGGCAATTAGTTTTACATTAAGGTAGAATATGGCCATTACTTGTCAGAACATTGAGTAAAAAAGTTTACATTATTTTAAACTTTTATTTAAATTTTTAGTTCAATATTAAATAGATGGAAAATTGTTGCACAATTTAATTTAGAAAGATTTCAATTGAAAATGAAATAAAAACTCTTGACAGTTAAAGAAAAAAAAGTTTTGATACAGCCAATTAAACATAGCTCATTTCCAGGCAATACTTTCCAAAACTGTGTTTTGCAAAGCATTTGTGTTCTTTGAAACTTCACTGATGGGTCAGAAAAAAAGGGGTTCTGACGTCAAGTCTCAAATGCTGGGGCTATATCCTTTTTGCAGATTCAGCATGTACAACATCATCTCAAAAGTTCTAAGAAGTTATGCAGCAAAGATACTGGTCAAATCTTGTTTAACTCAATTCCTCTGTTTCTTTTTGGAGGGGGGAGATGGTTTTTGGGGTACAGATACACAGATTTTTCAGTTAAAATATTCTAAGTACTATTTAAAGTTCCTTAAGTATCAACACCAAACAGATCAAATCCAAAGGATTATATTTCTAGACAGGAAAATCCAGTTACTCATGGCATATTCAAAAAACCAAAACAAGCATGTTTAGACTAATGGGGAGGGAAGTGTGCCATATCAATTTTTGTGCCTAAAAATGAAAATAACAGAAGTAATTGATCCTAAATTTAAAAAGCACATATCCTTTTGGTATGTTTTAAAAAGTAAGTTAAGTCTGGCTGGTGTGGCTCAGTGGCTGAGCATCCACCCATGTACCAGGAGGTCACCGGTTCAATTCCTGGTCAGGACACATGCCCAGGTTGTGGGCCCCATACCTAGTAAGGAGCATGCAGGAGGCAGCCAATCAATGTTCTCTCTCATCGATGTTTCTATCTCTCTCTCCCTTTCACTTCCTCTCTCTCTAAAATCCATAAAGGGAAAAAAAAGTAAGTTAAAATTCTCCCTATTGACTTTATCTATTTCTTCAGGGACACATTTCCTTCAAGAGGTTGACATACAGGATATACCATATTTCACTGAGGATTATATCATATGTAAGATACACTATTATCTTATGTATCACTAAGGAAGAAAACTACTGATAATTAAAGACATGCCATGGATTGTAAGATACCTTCCAATTTGAGCAATGTTGAAATGTGAACATACTTTCCTTTCTTCCTTCTTCCACTCATATTCTTCAAAATGTTTTTTATCTGTTTTCCCCCTTTAAAGACAATATCGAAGAAGGGAACGATACAACAAAGAACAAGATTCAAGAGATTTTTGTTCACCTCACCCTTACAATTATATTCAGATATTATAATGGCTATTTAAATAGATCAATCAAACAAATCACTTTTAATTGCTCTGCTTGATTCTGAAAAACAAAAAACAAAACACAACTTCCTCAGACAGTTCTGTTAGAAATGATTCATTATAACTATCTGTTAAACACTTAAACCATGTACTGAACCAAATGCTTTACATATATTACCACTTCATTTAATTCTCACCACAATCCCATGAGGTAGATATTATTTTCATCCCTATTTTGCAGACTAGGAAGTTGAAGCATAGAGACATTAAATAATTTGCATAAGATTACAAAGTTATTAAGTGGCAGAGCCAGGACTCAAACCCAGGTCTTTATGACTCCAAAGCTATGTTCTTGAACACTTTGCCATACATCCAAATTACCCCACAAAATGACTTCTAAATTGTAAGGAGATAAGTAAAACTTAAATATTTAACTGTTAGTAACTAATGTATTTATCTAAAATAGGCCAAATGTATTAACTAACAGTTATGTTTTATATGCATACATTTCATCCTGAATCTGTTTCATAAAACATATATATTTGTGTTTGTTTTGTTAACTTGATACATTTTACTTAACCATTAAGATTTATAGTTGTTTTAGCTTTGCTTTTATGCTTTTTGGTATTAAACTGATAAATGGTATATTTAAAATCTAATTATGTTATAGATAAATGATATTGGAAACTATCAATTCTGAAAGGGAGAGAGCATCTAGTGACAAGATTTAAAATCCAGCTACTTAAAATAAGGCAGGAGGGTGGGAGCAGGGAGGGCGTGTTCAATGGGGGGAAAAGGGGGAACATCTGTAATACTTTCAACAATAAAGATTAAAATAAATAAAATAAATATAAATAATAAAGAAATAAATAAAATATAAATAAAATAAAACTAAAGACCAGAGAAGGATGGGAAAAAATACAGTTGCTTGTTTTGTCTTTGTATTCTGTGAATTGGGGAATACGATATGTAACATATATTTGCATAATTGCATTCCAAAGCTTTAAAACTTGTTATCTACCAAAGCACATACACACCTGGGCACTATCACACTCATGCATTACCAAGAAGAGACCACCAAGATGTCACTGTGGTACACTGTGATCTGAACCACTGGGTCTAAAGCATCTAATCTGCACTGGCAAAATGGGCCACTTGACTTCACCCATCATTCCCTGTCTGACAGATCACATGTCCTTGAGCATGGAACTTGAGAGCAAATCTTATCAATGACCACAATGATATGAATTTTTTAGTGGACGATAAAATTTTAAAAAATCTTTAAAACAATTCTTCTGCAATTCAGACTTCTGATAAATAATCTGCTATATTTTGATCATTCTATAATTTACAGAATGTCATATCCTTGGTCAAGAGTACACATGCCAATTATGCCACTCCTTATATAAAATAGAATAATACTCATTGTGACTTCCTTAAACGTACTGAAGAAAAGGCAAAGTCTGCATATACTTGTTTCTTTAATTAGTTAAGTTTATTTCTTTATCTTAAAATTTAAATATACCAAAGAAGTTTCACATTTTGGAAGGCAGCTATGCTCACCACTATACCACCAACGCCCCGAAGTTTCACATTTTGAATCAACCCCATTAGTATAGGATCAAGCTGCCAAAATAAAGCAAACCTTCCTAAATTTTAGTTTAACAAAGACTGACATCCTATATTATAATCATTGAAAACAATGAAATGTTCAGTAATGTGTCACAGTTACTTGACAGTTGACATGTAACAATACCTGTCCTTTCCTCAGATCTTCACTTGGGGGAAAGAAAAAAACCTGAAAGGTGGTAAAAATGAAACAGGAAAAGGAAAAGAAACTTAATAAAACATTTTTTTTTCTTTTGCAAAATCAATGATCATACTTTAATAGAATGTTTTTCCCTACAGATGAAATATAAGAAATCTAACATGATATAGAATCCAATATAATCTTTGAGGTTAAAAATGGCTGCACAACCACTGAAGATGGTTTCCAACACAAGGGTTTCATTTTTCATAAGGAAATATTTATATAGTTACTATTTCTCAATGCATTCTGGATACTTGTTATTTAAAAGAATTCAAGGTGGCTATTTTTATATAACACAGTTCTATAAAATAAAAATAACCTCTTTAATTTTATTTTTGAAAATTGTTCATATTTAGCTTTACTATCATTTATCCTTATCCTACTGAAACTGATCCCCAAAAAAGTATCACTTTGGTCAGGCTTATGATTTAGTAAATATCGTCCCTGACTGCAGTGGCAAGAAATCTGTAGAACAGGATAGCCACAATTCTTTGAACTCCATCTCCTAACCTAAACAGTAAAATATTCTAAAACATACTAGTGTCTTTAAATAACTCCTTAAAGAGCTCTGAATTCATCTGGACTATTTAGGAAGCTATTTTGTTTTTAATCTTGTACCAATCTTGACTTTGCTAACACTACTTCTTCTATCATCCTAAATTTGCTTCTTTAAACATTCAGCCTTATGCTAGCCTATCATGTTCTGACCCACGTTTGAGTTCAACCACAAGGGTTTTTGTTTTGTTTTAAGCACCATTAGACCTATGTGAGGTCTTAAAGCAGGAAGGCCCTCTAAAGGAATGAAGAAACTGCCTGTACTTGTAGTGAGGTACTCAGGTGTTTTAAGATTGTTCATATTTCAATGTAAGATTAAAATAAGAACAGAGGTAAGATTGACAATCACCCTATTCCTGACCTTCATAATTCATTCAGCGGACATCTACTGAGTCCACAATATTTATGTGCCAGGTACTGTGTTAAGTGCTGAGGATACAAAGAAAAAAAAAAGTTTCTGCTTTTGAGACTTCTCCTAGGGATGAGACCATAAATGTAAATTCTTATAGAGACCGACCCTGAAATCTTTTAGCCTGGAGAGAAAAAAAATTGATTCTTTACTCAAGTAAACTGACTATTTTTCAAAATGATTTTAGTCTGGTAAAATATAATTATTCTCTACTAAGAATTTACTGGGGAGGAGATAGCATAAAGGAGTCCAGTATTAGACTTCGTATGAAAATTCTCAACCTTTTCCTTACTGGCTTCAGTATTTTCAAATTTGTATCAGAAGCAATTTACTTAAAACAGTTGAATAACCAAAAGCAGCAAAGTATTTAAAGGTAATTTATAAAAATCTAGTTTTAATAAATGTAGGCAACACTGGCTCTGTTTGACATACCTTATGCCAGAATATCAAGAAAATTCTTTCAAAATGGCAAATTGTATAATTCTATCTGCCAGGTTCTGGAAATCACGACAGTAACTGAAATAACTAGGCTTTAACAAATGAGACCTCTGTAATACTGTAATTGTTTCTGAAAAATACATGACCTCTAACTACTGACTTATTTATTTATACCATGAATTCTTCCACAAAGGATTTGAGGCAACTACTCTAATATAAAGCAAAGCACAGAAATTATATCCACCTGGCCTTGAATTGTGGCTGTACCATTTACTATTTATAATCTTTGTGCCTTTAACTTCTGAGATTCAGTTTCTTAATCTGTAACAATGGGGACCATAATCCTACTCTCTTGGGTTATAGCATGTAGCATAGTGTCTGGCATATAGTAAGTCCTAAATAAATATCAGTTTTGTGTCTTCCTTATCCAAATGCATGATATACAGAAAAAGGATAGAGTGGAACTTTAAACGATTTTTTACACATTGATACGTGCCAAGCAGAAATGTGGACTGATTATAAGTTGCAAATGTTAACGTTTGCATCTAAAATTCAGGCTCAAAGCAAATTTAATTTCTTTCCACAAGGTCAGCACTTTGAGAACATATCTCATTAACCTTATAGCTATATTATTTAACAAAAAACTCTTGAGGGAAAAAAAATGAAAAGAGCCCTGGAATACTATTTTTCACACTATCCATTCACAGGATGATTGAACATTCTAAATTTGATTTTCTTATAAAAGGTTTATAGTATTAGTCTGGCTAACATAATTTTAAATGAAATTCTCGTAATTCTGCCAGTCTTAAAAGCATGATTTCCTTTTTTAAAACATTTAGGTAACATACATCAATGTCTTTTTCTATTAAAGAACATCGTTTAGTTTAAGGTTTAAAAATACGATCCAAGTCGCAAAATACCAAGCACCAATCTTAAGCACTATTACAACTCCACTTGCGTTAAGCATAACATTTTATACAGCAGTGGAGGTTACTAGGAAAAAAACTGAAAAGCGATTTAAACTGATCCCTCTCCCCTTCCCCTTTCCCCCTTTCCTCCCATTATTCCCGAACATTATGTCCCGCATCTCAGATCAAACTGAGCCTGGGTCTTACTGACGTAACCAGTAACCCTATCCACCGCTCACACTGCGGAGGCCGGCAGGGCAGCGGCTGCCGCCAAGTACACCACTCATCAGAGCCTGCCCCATTCCACCCCCGCGTTTCAGTCATGCTTTCCAGAAATGGGGTCACTCACACAGTAACTATTACACACACGCAGCCTATCATCCTGTAATCCCCCAAAGTCCGCTGCGGGGATAGAAGACAGCAAAAAGTCAAGAAGGAAGAATCACAGACGCGCCACCATCAGGAATTGATTTTCCACTCCGGAGAGGAGCGCGGATGCCCTGGAATAGGTCTTGTCTGGGTTATTTTTGCAGACCTCGAGTTGGTTCTGGGACAGGGGCGGCTGCGGAAAGCTCGGCGCTCTGGTGTGTCCAGGGAAATTCTGTTTTGTCCTGTTTGGGTGTATTTGTTGTTTTTGGCATTCGGGTGGGTGTCTCAGGGACGGTCACCAGATCCCAGGCGAAGAAAACCAGAAAGCCTTTTACAGTGGCTGCTGATCTCCTTGAATATCTATCTCCCTCTCACCTTCACCGACAGGAAACTCAAGTTAAACTCGCAGGAACGGGGTCCTCGAGCTCAGCGACCTCAGAAACGGGGGTGGGGGGGGGAAAGACCTCAGGCTTCCACTTTCTCCTTTGCAGCAGCAGAAACCTCTGCGGCAGATTTGGGGGGGGAACCCCTTGACTTCCCTGGACCCCTTACACGAAACCCCCACAGGTCACCAACCCTGCCCTGGGCGGTTCCTGCTCCCGCGCGCTTGTCTCCCCGCAGCAACCCCGTCCCCCGGCCGGACTCAAGAGTCCCTGCTCCACAGTGAACCCAATCCATACACCTCACTCATCCTCCAAAGCCATCAGGTCCATGGAAGCCCCCAACCACGCACAGCCAAACTTCCCAACTCCTCGCAAGACCCTGCTCCGCCTCTCGCTTACCCCACGCAAAGTTGATTAGAATCGGCTTCTCGCAAAGCCCCAGCGCCCACTCCAAACCCCACGCGCCACCACACCACAGCCCCCCCACCCGAGCGAGGGAGGGGAGGTTACGGGTGGGTAGAACAGAAGGGCAAACAGACCAACCCCAACTACCTGAACCGGAATCCCAGAGCGAGGGGACACGCGAGCGGCAGAGGAAGGGGCCAAGTGGCCAGCTCCGGGGAGGGGAGCCAGCCTTGCGGGGCCGAGGGGAGGGGGCGCGCCGGCCCCCGGCCACCCGGTTGCACTCACCTCAGCGCTGTCGGACGGGCTCTCCACAGCCATCTTCTGCCACGGGTCCGCCAGCTGCGCCAGCGGCATCTTCCCCCCCGGCCCGCCGCCTTCACTGCCTCCTCCCTCCCCGCCCGCCCCACGGCCGGCCCCACTCAGTCGCCGCCCGAGCCCCACGGCAGCGGCGGCGGTGGCGGCGGCGGCGGCGGCAGCAGCAGCAGCGGCGGCTGCCCGGGAAAGGGATCGGCGTCGACACCGACCCTCGAGCACCGCGCGCCAAGCGAGAGCCTCGCGCCGCTGCCCGGCACCGGGTCTCGCCCCTTTCTTCCTCTCCTCCTTCCGCCGCGGAGACTACAGCTCCGCCCCCCGCCGCCGGTTCCCGCGCCCGCTCCCAGCAGAACAGCAGCCGGCGCGCGCTCCCCCACTTCCGCTCACAACATGGCGCCTAAGCGGTACCTGTCTCTCAGAGCTAGGCTCAGCCGCCGCTGCCACCGCGCGCGCACTCGGGGTGGGGCTTGGTAAGACACGCCCCCAGCCCCCGGCTTTGCTCCGCCCTCCTTCCTCGCCCCAGCCTCAGCTTCTGGGCCTCGCCTACTTTCAGGAAGGGCGAGCCCCAGAGATCTGGGGGCGTTGGCGGGAGGCGGGGGAAAGAAGAGGGGAAAAGGCAGGAGGGGCGAAAGGCTGGGAGCCTTTAACTGTCTTGGGTCTGAGCAGGTCGGAGGCTCCTTGGGGATGTAGAGAACAGTGGTCCTCGCCGAGACGTGGAGGGAGATGGGCGAGGCGCAGGGGCCACAGTCCGGTGCCAAGGACCCGGGAAAAGGGCCGGGGGTTTCTATTTGGCCTGACTCCTCGGTGGGAGCCTGTGGGCACGCCGAGTCTATGGGTACATCCCGTAATGGCCAGGACCCGCCCTGTCCCTGTCCAGGGTCACAAGCTGAGCATTCACCTGCCCCCCTACACCTCCTCCCGCGAGGAGGACACCTGAAGGCGTCTTGCCAGGGAGCCCCCGGGGGGTTAGCCTCTCGGTTTGATTCAAAGCTCTCCAAATTAACGCTCTTCTGTTATATTTTTAATATTTGGAATTCATTCGTCTTACATGAGTCGTTCCCCCCGCCCCACCAAGTCCGCAGAGCCCTTAAAGCTCCCCACTTTTTGCTGCCTAAATCTTCACGAAGGAGAAAACAAGGAGGTTTCTTAAGGCTACCCGCGACTCTCCGCAGAGGTTGGCGAACTATTCTAAAATATCTTGTTGGCAGGAGCC